CCGGGGGGGGGTTTTGGGTGCATTCCCATCACTGCCTGCTGGGGCTCTTTCTGGGTGGCTGCTCTTATAAACCAGCAGCCTGCTCATCCTGGGGGCTTTTTCTTTCTTTCTTTTCCTTTTCTCTTTTTGGAGCCTTAGTTTGGAGCTATGGAGGGTTGGGCTCTGCTCCCTGTGAGTCTCTAGGATGTAGCGCCAGGACGTTGTACCCTTCCCAGCGCTGCCAAGCAGGTAAGGGCACAGCGATGGGCTGCCCACCTTCCCCCCATCCCTGGGCTGGGGTTGGGGGCTGCAGCCCAGAGCAGGGCTCTGCCTTGGGGCTGCTTGTGGTCAAGAAGTGTCCCAGCACCGTCCTTCTCCCATGTGATGTCCCAGATGAAGGACGATGTCATCACGTGGCTCTGGGATGGCCTTAGGGCTCGGTTCCCAGCCTGGCTGCAGCACCCCAGTGCCGGTACAAAGAAATTCCTTCCCGATGCTGCATCTCCTTCCACCACGGAGCCGCTCGCTCGCCCTGCTCAGCCAGGACGACTTCTTTGAGAGCTTCAATGGGTAGGTGGCCACTGGGATGTGTGTGGGGCTGAGCCCTGGTCTCGCCTTGTGTTTGTCCCCAAGGAAGTGTGTCCCTTGTCTAGGATGGGTTTAGGTTTGTGGTCCAGCACCGACACCGCCAGCACCAGGAGGCTCCCGGGGTGGAGGCTGGCATTGCTCCCCTGTAGCCAGGGCGAAGCTGATGGCCCCGGCTCTCCCCGGTGTCTCTGCTGTCTGCACCTTCGTGGCTGAGACCGGGCAGTGCTGCGCATCCCAAAGGGCACCAACTCACACCCGTGTCCCTGCTGCTCTGCCAGGAGTTTCTGTGACGTGAGTGATGCTTTGGGGGCTGATCTGTTGGACTGCAAGTACTCCATCCCTGACCCGCAGCTGGTCCGGAGGATTGTGTCCCAGGTGGAGTTCTACCTCTCTGATGAGAACCTGGCCAAGGATGCTTTCCTCCTGAAACATGTGCAGAAGAACAAGATGGGCTTCGTCAGCATCAAACTCCTGACGTCCTTCAAGAAGGTAGGCAGCCCGTGGTGCCGGCCAGCCGGGCTGGGAAGTGGCCTTCACGGGGCAGGTGTCTGGGTGTGCTCTGGCCGTCTCCAGTGGGGTGTACGGGGAGGTCCAGGCTCCGCTCTGGCTGTCTGTGTCCCAGCAAAGCGCTGGTGGTGCAGAGCTGGGCCTGTGAAAGGGCCTTCGATGTGCTGCTGCAGTTCTCCAAGAGGTGAACAGTCCTCAAAACAAGCCCAGGGCCGGATTCACCTCTCCCGCCCGTGGTTCTCCTGGGCTGCTTTGGGAGGGATCATCCCTTCACCCAAACTGCAGGGAAGGGCTGGTGCCGTGATGGACGGGGAAGCTGTGGTTTGTTGCCATGGTCCAGGGGACACCGGGGACCTTCTCCTGCAGACCCAAAGATGCTCCTGTGAAAGGGAGATATCGCCTTGCCATGACTTTGGGATGATGGGGTCACGGCGTGCCCGGACGGGGGGTTTAGGGTGGTCCCTGCCTGGGGAGACTCACCGGGATGCGGTGGCCCCCTCCTCTCTCCCGCAGGTGAAATACCTGACACGCGACTGGCGGCTCACGCTCTACGCCCTCCAGTTCTCGGAGCTGCTGGAGGTGAACGAGGAGGGCACCAAAGTGAGGCGACGGGTCCCCATCCCCGAGTCCCTGCTGAGCATCCCCCCCAGCAAACTGCTGCTGGCCTGGGAGCTGCTGCCCCGGGAGCAGGACGTGCTGCCGCTGCTCCAGAAGAGCTTCCTGGAGACCATCACCAGGATGTTCACCCCCTTCGGTGCCATCGCCTCCATCCGCATCCTGCGGCCGGGCCGCAAACTGCCCTCGGATGTGCGGAAATACACGTCGCGCTTCCCCGAGCTGCTGAGCAAGTGCTGCGCGCTGGTGGAGTACGAGAGCCTGGAGAGCGCCCGCAGAGCCTTTGAGGACCTCGGTCACCAAAGCCACCCGGGCGGTGAGAACATCAGAGTGGTCCGGCTCTGTGGGAAGGGCTCCAAGAAGAAACCTGGAGCCGAGAGGGAGGCGGCGGAGGAGCTGGTGGACCAGCTGGGATGGAAGGCGCAGACGGCGGCCGCTGCCACCTTTTCCTACGGCCTCAGGGACTCCCTGCTCTGCCGTTCCCCGGAGTTGGACGGGGCCCCGGCATCGCCACCTCTCCGCCTGAACAAGGACCCCTGGCCCGGCAGCGACTTCAAGCCCGGCGACTTCGGCAACGCCTTCACCGGATCGCTCCTCGCCAGCAAGGTCTTCCCTCCGCTGGGCACAGGCTTGGGCACCAGCAGCTGCTGTGGGCTCTGCTCCAGCACCCAGAGCCGCTGCGGCT